GCATACCTGAAATCTTTCCCTGTAAGAATTTTGTTTTTTTTGTATGCTTAAGAAAGCCTCTTCAGTAGGTTATAATTAACATATGCTAGTCCTGCGACAAGGTTGCATAGATATTCAAAGGCTGTACCAGGCAAATCAACATTCCTAACCTGGTACCCAGGTGTTTGCAAGCAAGGAAGCGTATTTTCAAACCTGAATAATGTTATGAAGTTAATGTCTTCCCCCTCTGGAGGGAAGGTAGATTTGGTGTGGAAATGTGGTACTTGACTGCACGTTGTCCATTACCTCCCTTCCTCTAATTGTTGTTTGTAAAAGTTAACTTTTTATTCTCTAATTCAAGGCGAGATTTTCGAGCTCGCGATCCCGTTTTCTCTCTCTATTAACTCATGTCTCTATCTTTTTCCTCAACTTCTCTATCCATTGTCTCTGTCCTCAAGTTCTCTTAATTTAACCTCCTCACGTATCTTAGCTTGTTCCTCATGTATTTTACTTGTTCTCACGTAACCCTAGCTCTCTCCTCATGATACAAGTCTATCACGCTCCATTTTTGTCTCTCTCATCTCTTTCAACTGTCTTGGATTCTCTCTGCAATTCTCTCTCTCTCCTTTTTCTCTTCTCAATTCCCTTTCTACTGTCTTTCTCTCTCTCAATTCTCTCTCCTTTCAATCTTTTCCCTGATCTTAGCACTAATGAAAGATTCTAAATTTTTCCCTTTTATTCCTAACTTACTTCCCTTGTTCATCCAAAACAGTATTCCTCCATATTTGCAAGAACTAAATTAAACTACCGGGAAAATCAGAAACGTATAACGAAAACGGAGGGCAATTCCTGCTCTGCTCAAACTGTAAATAAATCAGAGGGCTCGATCTCGTCTACTTCATCAACAATTATGTATTTACAACGAAAACGAAGGTTTTCTATGTGCCGGCTCCGAGCAAACAGTAAGTAAATGGGGTCCCCTTGACGCATCCCAATCTTCTCACCAACAAATTCCAGATGTCCCTACGACAGTACTACCCTTGATAAAAAAAAGAGCTCAATGAAAACAAATATTTCACTGGAAATTCTCGGTCCCTAGAGTCTAATCCTCCAAAGTGTTTTCAAGCTCTAACGAAATGTGGCAAATTAAATAAATATATATGCCTGAACTTGATTACAAATAAATTGAGACTATAACTATCACTCAAAATCTATTAAATACTGTACTGTAGTCCTACTAAAGAAATGCTTACTCATGGGCTGGTGGTTAACCGTCTGTGGTATGCTGCGTGAAGTTCATGGAAGATTCGATATGGAGTTAATCTTAAATTCTGTTGAGGTTTGATCCTGGCAAGGTCCGCCACTTTTGAAGGCTTACTCAGCCCTGTAACAACTTCAACAGTATTAACCAAAGCTGGCTCCTCCTCAGAAAATTAATGTATAGAAAAAGAATAAAAAAAACTGACAAACATCAAACACTTTAATTATTTTAGAAAATATAAAATATAAAGCACTTAATATGCAATAATCGAGCCTACATAAAGAGAAACACATGAAAAATGAAAAACATAGAAATGATATCTGAATTCACGCTTAATATAAAACTTGGGTGTCTGAGGTGGTTGGTGACACTGCTTGTTTTGAAATCGTAGCCGGTGCCGATGATGTGGGGGGGGGTCACAGGTAGTTATGACAACCACCGCTTGCTCTTCACAGAAATAGCCAGAGTATTTCTATCCCGATGACGAGGAAAAGCATTCTTTACCGCTGCAATGATGAGGGTTACGTCCTGCAATTTTCATACAGGTGCACGGGTAATTAAATCCCCAAGCGGGGAAGTCTCAGGACGTATAGTCCATCATCCCATCATCTACCTCGTTGATTGCAGGTGAACCCTCCTCTTGACATCCAAGCTGAAAATAGACAGGTTACCCACTGCTTAAGAAATCAATCTCCATGATAAGTACAATACCTTAAAAATGTGGTGATTATTACACAGTCAACCTAAAGCAAGACGAAAGACTAAGTTTATTATTGGTCAAAAGTGATGCATCCAACCAATAAATCCAATATAATATAAGGCAGCAATGTACTTCAGTAGTGCTGGGAGCTGTGAGTCCTAAGTGATTACTGTTTGGACCGGAGCCCCCACACTCACCTTTCGGGGGGGAGGGGAAGAAGTAGGGGAAAAAAAGAAGATGGGAGAGTTAGGCTGACCCCTACCTTAACAAGCAGCCGGCAGTCAAACTATCACTATTAGTTGGTTAGGAACAAAGGCGGAATACACGGGAGCTGGACTTACCCTACCATAACAAGTACCGTAAATGAAAACTATTGTTACTATTTATCCATCGCTACTCCTATCTATTGAACTTTTCCCTCACACCCTTGACCTGTACTCTTTGAAACCCAGGCGAGAAAGATACATGATAATATACACTTGGAAAATCCTAAATTGCTTAGTCATAGATCTGCATAAGAAATCACTCCCTACAAAAGCAAAAGACTCGGTAGGCAGTGCAAAATCCCCCAGTGAAGAGAAAAGGCGCCATGAGTAAGCTCAGAGGCACCGCAATAAGTGTCAGGAGCTTAAAACTGTTTAACTGCCTCCTAGCATATGTAAGGAGACTACCAACAGACACCTGCCTGGCTGGCTGTCTTCAAGATGGACCCGTACACCTAAAGTCAGTTCCCGACTAGCCAGGCTATGGTTCGTACGTCGGTTTGCTTGCGACCAGCAGTAACAGCCTGGTTGATCAAGCTCTGATCCATCACGAGGTCTGAACATGAACCTGCCGCCGGGGCGTTGACCCCCGAAACACCGTCCAGGTATTAAACTGATTATTTTTATACTTATGGGGAAACACCAAACCTAAATGAGCCACTCCACCTGCTGAATGGGGGGCAACAAGAAAGGCGAGATCTCTAATTAGATCATAAGCCCTTTATCAGCATAATGACAACCAACTTCATTTCAGTGAGAGTGTAGTGGCTGCTTGATTCGACTGACAGGTATCGAAGTCATCTCATGAATTACTTGTATTGCTTTTACTGACGCACTGACGCAGTAATATTCTGTAGTTATATCTTTATCTAATATTTACTGCATTACCATGTACTGTTTTACAGCAGATATTAAGTGCTGAATAATGTATTTAGTTTAATTCTCAAAGTGATGTTATCAGTGTAACTTTTACTGTATGTTAAAAATAAGTGGAAATTAGAGCCAGATAAGATAGCAATTGACCCTTGAATGGATGTTGCTCTAACCTAATCTATGTTATCCTCTCTGTGAAAATTTTGAGACTGCACTACATGAGGTTAAACCAGCAATCAGTTCTAGGTTGACAAAATCGAGACGATGTATACAGTAGCTGACAAGTGAACACCTGAGAAGCATTGATAACCTTGACAAAGCCAATAAGAAAGGGGGATAAAACATCTGGATAGGAGAGAACTGCATACTAACAAACATTTCAACATTCAAAATGCAAATAAGTTAGTGGAAGGCTTCAGTCAGTTTAGAAAACCGACAAGTCGAAGAATGGGACACTTGAGCTAAATTTGAGAATCTTTAATCTGGAAATGCTGTGCCAGCCAGTCAGCTCAATCAGGACAGGATTTAGGGTAGGGGCTCGGGGTACGGGCTCCGGGCCCCCCACCAGAAGGGATCCCCCCCCAATAATGAAAAATATTATGACACTGTACTGACAACTGAATAAATCGCAAAAAAAGAAAAAGTATGCAAGAGTTTGAATTGTGGTGGGATTGTCATGTGATCATCTTATCGCTGGTGTTACATAATCTGTTAGCGCGTCGTCAGCTGCATGAAGTGAGATGACTCACAGCACATCATCATCCTGGTGTGCAGGGCTCTGCACTATGAATGACTACTTGAACGTGGTCGGTATGTGAGCACCAGTGTGATAGTGAGAACCTGCTACGAACGAGCTTGAAGCAGTGGCGGCTTGTGAACCTGACGGTCATGAGCATAGAATCTGACATCCTGTGCTCCTTGGATTTTGATGGAATTATCAGAGATTTTTCCATCGAAAAGAACGGAATGTACCTGCTTATAATATTTTATCTGAGTGAAGATAAATCATTACTTTTGAGTTACACTTGCAAATGAACCAAGAGGATGTTAAAATACTCTATAAATCCAATTTATTGTTTCATTTCTTCGTCTTAAGAGGATGGTACCCATATTGTGAGTGGCGAAAGTATTTCCAAGGAGAAACTTAAACGTCTTCTAACCATTAGAGATAGACCTTTTAATGCAAAGGGCCCCCCACCACCTAAATCCGGCACTGAGCCCAATACAAAGAAGAACGGTGGAAGGAGAAGAGTTTTGAGAGAAGATATTGTAACCACGTTTTGGATTATAAAAGAGTACAAAATAATTGATAGGTGTTGCTTTCTATCCCCATTAATTTGCAATGCAGAAGCCCATAGCAATAAGCAAAGAGCTACTGAATGGTTACTAGAAAAATTTTTCTTAACATAATAAAACATTGTAATAGAATTACCTAAAAGTTGAGGTATAGTAAATGCTACAACCACTGAAAACTTTGAATAGCTTTACAAAAAAAGTAAAGAAAAAAAAAAACAGAAGATGGAACATTAAGAGCTTAACAGTTTTCCTGTAACTGAAAATTGTGCATCTCACGGAGAGACAGATGATTAGCACATCCTTGTTTGTAATGTCAGGTCATATTGACATCAAAATCTCTTAATTGAGTGTCCTACTTATCAAAGAGCACACAGAGTTCACTGTTAACATATTCATCAAGGTAATGCTCTCGCTCAACCTCAGGTGTCGAATGACTTCATCGAGGTTTTCCATAAGAATTACAAATAATTTAGTAATCTAAACTAGCTGTTCATGTCTCTGAAAGGACTTCCAGGCTCCCTCCACGACTAGTTAATTAATTGTACTGATTTAATACATCAACAATGACTTTTATCCTTTACAGTTATTCTTATTATCCTCACCTCTAACTCTCTAATAATCCAAACAGTTCCATGTGCCAGCAGAGATTTGATATCTGCCCAGTATGGCTTCCACGATCATGGTGTTGAAGGTATGCCAGCCCCACCTGCGCACTTCCTTATACACGCCTTCTTCCAGCCGTATCAAGAATTAAAGTAAGGATCTCAGAATATTTTAAATGTTATACAAATTAAACCCACACATAGGAGAAAGAAACTTATGACAACGTTTCCGACCGAAACGTCGTCATCTTCGATGTGCGGATTATTTGCGTATGGTTACTGTCACGGTATTGTGATTTTGTTCTTGATTTTCAACTTTAGAGAGGCTTATGCACAGAGTTTCTGCAACTATTTTAAAACCTAAGCATAGATATCGTAAACAAAAACCCCACCCTTGGTATGGTTTTGTTTTTCAATCGTATCTTTACGATTTCGCGAGTCATAGATACCGTAAAGCAACTCACTGAAAAATTTTTTCCCTAAGCATTTGTTTTTTACTTTTTTTTTTTAAATTTTTTAAAAATAAAGTTAAACAGGGAAAAATGGGAATCTGTGTAAATTTAAACCCTTTAAAATTGGGTATAAGATCCAAATATAAAATAAAAGAATACAAAAGGGGTGGGTCATTCGGGGAAAAAAGACAAAACAACAGAAGCTTTAAAGTGGGGGCTCGTTTCAGGGAAATTCTGGGGGAAATTCTCATCATACCCTGTACTTTAATGGGGGAGAAAAAAAGTAACTGAAACAAAAAAAAATATTACAAATTCAGTTGGTTGAAGATTTTTAAGGGGAAATTTTCGGGGGGATTTATTAAAAATTTTTATCAGTTTTTTTAAGAAAATGTGCACCCAAAAAATAATTAAAGTATTTCACAAAAAAGAAATCCCCTTTTGAGAGTTTAATAAAAATTTCAAAAAAAAACATTTACTAGTTAATTTCAGAAGCACATTAAATATGGATTGTTAAAATTTTTTTTTGACAAATTTTAAAAGCAGTGAAATTAGAAACCGCTTCGATGATGCTTTCCTAATTACGCTTTAATAACACTATTTAAATTTTCATCTTTTTTCCAATTTAAAAAATTACCCTTTTTATCTAAAAGGCCCAAAATCAACCAAACTTTTTTTTTAGGGGAAAAAATATAAGCGGGCTTTAAATGTTTGGGTTTTCCAATTTCAAATGTTGCATTTTTCCAATTATTGCTAAGAAATTTCACCCCAAATTTTAAAGGGAAAATTTCTTTTAAAAAAAGGGGGCATTAAAAGTTTTAAAATAATCAATTTTTAAAAATGCCCAAAAAATTGGAAAAAATTTAAACCCTAGCAGCGGTTAAAACCCAAAAAAACAATCATCAGCAAAAATTTGGGATTAAAGGGCCGTCCAAAGGGGAAATAATAAGTTATTTAAACAAACAAAATTCATTTAACTTAAAAAAACTTTTTATCGGCCCCTTAAAAATCACCTCCCAATAAAAATTTCCAATCCCTTTTTCAAAAAAGAAAAGGGCATAAAAAAATTTTTTTGGGAAATTGAAGCCTCTCACAAGGTTTTTTCCCCCTGTAATGATGGGCTTTGGTTCTCCATAGCAGCAGTCCCCCCCAGATACCCCTCTGCCAGACTTTATGCTTAAAATCAAACTTGCCGCTAAAATAATTTGTAACTGACAAATATATTGCAGAAAAAATCTTTTCATGTTTTTTTTCCAAAGTATTTAAAAAGTGTTTTAAAGTTTTTTTTTTTTTGGTTTTTAAAAAGGAAGAAAAAAATATTAAAAAAAAAGGAATTGATGGGGTTTCGATAGTATAGGTATTACTGGCGTTTACATGTCGCAGGAAAGGGGGCGGGCATTCGAGGGCACACACCTAGTTCCCAATAAATTCTTTTTACTTTGGGAGGATTAGCGCTTTGGGAACGTGTGGCTGGTATTGGGTGTTGCTGGCCGTTAAATTTTTTTTAAAACATTTTAAATTTTTAAAATTTTATTTGGGATAAGGGAAGGGGCTTAAAAATTTGATAAACCATTTTAAAATATTTAAAAAAGTTTTTAAAATTTTTTGGGCAGTTGATTTTAATTTGGAAAAAGTAAAAAAAGAAAAAAGAAAAGGGCCCGAAATACGCCAATTTTTTATTCCTTTTCCCAAAAAAAGTAAAAAAGTGGAGGAAAAAATTTTAATGCCCCCATTTAAAGCGTCAGTGTTTTCCCCGAAAAGGGTAAAGGGTTTTGTGGCGGGTGGGGGAAAAAGGAAAGCTTTTTGTTTTTTCCCAGGGTTTCCCTTTTGGGGTTTGGAAAACCCTTTCATGGACAAAAAGGGGGCTTGACTGATTGGGGCTTTTACTCCCAAAAGGGTTTAGAAACATGAGCATTAAACCAAAGAATATAAATAAAGTTTTTTGATTTCCCCAATGAGGGGAAAAGGAACATTTGCAGTCAAAATTGTTTTCCAGATACATTTTTCGATAACAAAAACCCACAATTTTAAATAGCTGAAATTTTTCCCCAAAAGTTACATAAAAAAATAAGAACAAAAGAAACGGGAAAACACTGCAGCGGCCCTTTTGGGCCCCATACTAGGCAGGTCCTTTAAAATTCACTNTCCCACTAACAAAACATTTGCCCAACCCAATTTTCAATGCCACCCAAGAAACAACAATGCCACCCAGGACTGTGACGACCTCTGCGGGTACATATATGTGAACGCTTATCATTATTAAATTTAGTTTAATTCTAAAAATTATTACTTTAATAATTTTGATTATGCTGTTCTATGAGGCTTGCAGTCACGTAGTCCCCCCTATCTATTTTTTGACGAGCTGCCATTGGTAATGATCCTTTTACTCATGTGCAAGTTAATTGTTCTACCATATTGTATTACTACTACTACAACTTACATCACTACTACTACTACTACTACCACCACTATATATACCCTGTGACCATGTATTGTTTGTAACGGCTTGACAAAGCTCCTGGAGAGCGAAACGTTGCCACAATAAAATGTCACATTAGTTGCACTTGTGACCTTTTACTTTACATACCAGAAGGCACCTGAATATGAAAATAGTTCCAAATATTTAGTTTACCACTGATGCAGATTTGAAGTCTATCGAATAAATTATTTCAAGCAATAAATAAACTCGTTTAAAGAAGAAATGAACGCCATCATGTTTAATGGCTCGCTTAAAAACACAATTAATGCCCGATTTTCAAAATTCCTCAATTTTCATTTTTTATGACATTTTTCAAATTCTTTCCAATCCTATAAGAGGTTAAAAATAAACTCCAAATTTATTAACTGTGCTAAGAAACTGGGAAATTTGTTTCCACACAAAATGAACCTGTTATATGCGATAATATGCTTAATATGTATCTCAGCGGTTAAAACGCCGTTTAAAAAGTTTAACTGGCAAATCGGGATCAACGGACTTGAATGACAGTCTTAACCCATCTCTAACCAGGATACACTAGTGCTGAAAGTTTGAAGACTATCATATGAGGCTTACTCTCCCACTTAAAGGTACTATCTACGGAAACACCGAGTATTTAACGAAGACTTTGAGAACATTAGTTCTTGTACATAGCAGATGGTCTTCCAACATATCTCCAGTGTTGTTAGGTTGTGCTCAAATAACACATAACCTAGCACAGCCTCTTACATGTTCAGGAACCTTACGGGTGCGTCGCGAGCAGCATCGATTTTTTTTTTTTAGATTTTTGCCTCCAAAGTGGCTAGTTTATTGTGCACCCCATATCCATCCTGTGGACGGTAGCACAAGAGCATATGGATACAAAAAAACTTAGGAACTAGGCCCAAAAAGGGTTAACAGGTGTACATATGGGTTTTTATTTATCTACATATCTACAGTTCACTTATCTGTTACATGCAAATTTAGGAAATTTGCTTAGTATATCTGGTATCTTAGTTTCATTAATAAGATATCTTGACATGTCATATAGGTTATTATACTGTCTGTCTCTGTATTCCTCAATAAGTGGACAATTAAACACAGTGTTCCAGACAGTGACCATATGCCTGATCACATAATTTGCATTTAGTTTGATCATCATCTGTGTGTCTCCCAAACTGCCAGAAGTACTTGTAACCAAGCCTAAGCCTGGCCACTACAACATCAGTCTGTCTGTTCACATTGCAAGTTGCTCCATAAACATAATTATCTACGTTCATGTTATAGTGGGTTATAGATCTACTAAGGCTTCTAACTGCATTCCTATAACATTCATTTTCATTATTTACTTCTCCCCTATTATTATTCCTAATGCTAGACACAGATATACCAAAGTTATATTCTACATTCTCTTTCTGGGTACTCTTCTTGGCTAACATATCAACTTTATCATGAAGAAGTAATCCAATGTGTGATGGGATCCATAGCAATTGTACATTAATTCCTTTGTCCCTGATTTTTGAGTATCTACACCTGGCTTCTCCAATGAGCATGTTGTTGGAGACATTATTGACATGGTCATTAAATTACACTGGTCAACAAACAAAATACTTCCGAGACCAGAGTAGCAATTTCCACCTAATTTTAGGTCACTGATAATGAATATCATGGTTAAAATTGTTTATTAGCCATACTTTTCAATATATACCTACGTGTCACAACAGATTCCTAAGGCTTGCGGCAGTATATTTCTTACCACACTCAGAGTCTCACTGCCCTTCATTATTGTTCCAGCAGTCATAGCAAGCTATTGATATGCATGTGAGGCATATAATTTTATTTTCCTAGTGATTGATATGAATACTTCTGCTTAATTATCATGCTCTGCATTATAATGACAAATTAATGACAAAAATTTCTGTTCATCTTCTAATTGTTTATTCTTTTCTTCTTCCTGCTGCCTCGTACTTGTGTGATTAGTGCAGACAGACAACTTCTGCTACATTTGTGGTGAGGTGACATTTGCATCACAGAAGCGCTGTATAACTGCTGTGGTTAGAAAGGCACATCACCTATATTTTGGATGCAAGATTGATGACTAGAATAAGAACTGGGCTCCACACATGTGCTGCAACACTTGTGCTACTAACCTTCGTCAATGATTGAACAGGAAGAGGAAAGGAATGCCTTTTGCTGTGCCAATAACATGACGGGATCCAACAGACCATACCAACAATTGTTATTTATGC